TAATAATAATAATAATAATAATAATAATAATAATAATAATAATAATATGTCGATTTGGTGTTAACATGTCATTTTGAAAACAGAAATATTGAGAGGGAAATATCTTCTGGCCTCTATTATATCTAAATTATAGTGTGATGAAACCAGAATTATTACAGGGTTATTTATTTTTCGAATTTTTGAAAAATGCTTCAACAATTGTACATTGAAATGCGCAGAGGCATGGGACGCCATGTCTGCAGTCTTTCGTAGCTTTGTGTAAAAATGAGCTTTACATCTGACCAGCGGTCAACAGAAAAAGCTCATTTGGCTCCTGTCGTGCTCTTGTGTCCACTTTGACTACTTTTCTTTTTGGTGTGTGTACAAGTTTGTTTTTTCCGTGCATATCTGTGTGCTGCCTGCATGTTTGGGTGCATGTTGAGTGAATTTTAATTGCTTTATTTGCATGTTAACAACCCACCTCTGCAACACACTCGTACGCACCCACACACACACATCCACACACACACACACACACAGCAGATGTTGACTAAGCCTCCAGTGTGCCCTGCTCTGTGAGGCAGCTGCCATCAACCATTCTGAGAACGCGCTCAGAACAATCTACTGTGTTCGGTGGGCTGAGCATTAACTAATGAAGATTAATGAATTGAAAGAGTCATTTTTGTTTGTCTCGTGATATAACCTCACTTCTAACTTCTCGTGCAAATCGGGCTGGTTTAAAAGCTCTTCGTACAGAGAACTAAGGCCAAAAATAATGCATACAACTCGCCTTGTACCAAATCACAAAGTTTATCCCATAATCAGGCTGTACTTTGGTCTGTTGGACCCACCAGGGACATCAGAGTTGCAAGTCACAAGATATGTGCTGTTGTACTTTTAATCATGTTCCAAAAAGTTTACTAGCAATACAACTTCATTACGGCTTGATGTCTACGAGTGATTTTGTGATTAATAGGAGAGGAAAACCCCGTTTATTCAGCTCATTTGTCATTCCTCAGAGGCTGCAAACAACATTCTGGTGAGGGAACAATTATTGCAAATCTAATAGGATGAAAAAGAAAACACTACGGTTATTAGAAACGTTCTTTCTTTACCATCATTTGGTAAGAATTTTTCAAGAGATTATTAGTCGACATAACAACATTATGAGCACTTTGCAAAATGGGGAATTCATTAAAAAAAATGCCTGAATAAAAGGAAAAAAAATCAGCCATAACATTCTCTTATTTTTAAAATTAATTAATTAATATTTATCAGGTGGCAGGTAAAAATGATATGCCACTGTTTTAAATGCGCTTGGATATGGGAGTAATGGGCCTAAGGAACCACTAAAATTAGTTGATTAAAAAAACAACAGGGACAGACACCAAAAACTATCTAAACTCGTCCAAAAGCCAAATACCAAGAAAAACTGAACTAACCGTAAACTTGGAAAAACAAAAGATTTAGGATGGATGGAAGAAGACGTTGATCAGTGAGTGAATAGAAACTGAGAGAGTTAACACAGGTGAGGAGAGTGGAGGGGGGTGACCTGCACAAGGAGAATATAGGAAAAAATAGAAAAAATATGTAGGAGAAAATGGCAAACTTGGACATTTGGCAGCCACTATGTACATGTGTATCATGCTTTGATATGTACAACAAACCAAAGGATTGTTCCTGTCTCTAACATGGTATTCCACTATGCTAGCTGCTTATATCAGCACGAATATTTCACAGTGAAAGCACTTCAAGAATGGTGTTGTAGCCATTTAAGTTCAGTTTTCGTAATATTTTATTGCTTTTATTTTTTACTGTGTACCTCATCTTTTCTTACTGTATTTCTATTGTATTATCTGTTTATGCTGTATATCTTTTTGTGCAGCACTTTAAAAAACCTTGTGTTTGTTGAAATCGTGCTATATAAATAAAATGGATTGGATTGGAATAATCCACACCAACCAATCAAGTCCCTCTTGTTGCAATTTTCTGAAATAACACCCTCAGCTAGAGCCCTCATACCTGTCCATCAGACTGTACCGTATACATTATATTTAAACATCAGTTGTAAGTGTTTTGTAAACACAAACGGGCAGACGTGCGCACACACCGAGGGGATGGTTGTGCGACTCCACATCCATCAGCCGAGCTGTAAGTCACCGGGCCAAGCAGGAGTTTAAACATTCAGCCGGTGTTACCGTGACGGCAAGCCACCGAGGAATTCATTAACATTTAGCCGCACCTGTTCCCTGTGCTGCTCCTCATCCGGCTAATTGATTACAGCAGAACTGATGAGGAAAAGAGTTGGGGGGGGGCAGGAGAGGAGAGAAGAGCAGGGCAGAAGTTAAAGAAGAAGAAGAAGAAGAGGATGGGGAGAGGAGAAGATGCGAATTTGGAAGAAAAGTGCACCCCAGCCAAATTCCTCCATCCACCCACTCATTGGACATTACCTCATGCTTCATTACCTAATTAGCCACTTTGACAGCACGCCATTGGATGTGGGGTCTCCATGGAGATGAATACATGTTGCAACAACTCCCACAAAGACAAGAGCAGGTAAACCAACCATGAAGGAGGACAACTGCACCACCAAAAAATATCCCCCTTCCTTCACAGCTTCCTTTATTAAAATATTAATTGTATTAGTGATGACTCTTAGTAAATATAATGCTGAAGACAGTGATTTACTTTATTTATGTTTATGAATTTGTCAGATGCTTTTAACCAAAGTGACTAATAATGCAATTATAAAATTATAAAATAAATATTTGATTACAAATACAATAACTATCTTTGTTTTTATTACATGTTTATTAAGATTTGAGAGATTATTCTTTTCTTGGTTCTGACTAAATTAACCCTGTAATGCCAAATGTATCATATTTGATACATAGGGTTTCTGAAATGTTTTGCGTCTGACACCTTTTGCATAATTTAATGGTAAAAACTTTGCTCAAAATCCTATTGTACACAATCAAATATACACCTGATAACAGGGGGCAGAAGACTACACAAAAAACAATCTTGACTTATCGCATAGTAATAAATTATTAATATAAAAAATTTATTTCTGTTTTTTCTTTTTACATATTTTGTTAAAAAAAGTTATTTTCTGTTTTGTTTTATTCTTGGATCAGGCTTTAAAGGATTAAATAAACTAGTTGGATGTATTGGATGACTACTATTTCTTTTTTCTTTTCTTTCTTTCCCTTTTTTTTACATATGTTGACTTTGAGGTGATGTAATATCAGATTGTGATGTATAGAAAATGTCAAAAACAGAAATGCTCCAAAGAGCTGCTTTGCATTCAGCAGAAAGCTGACAGGTTGGAGCAGTGGGCCAAGTGAGGCCGTGCTCTCATTCCCTCCTTTCAAACAGGCGCGGGGTTTCTTTCACATTTAATTTTCCCACAAAGGACGTGGGGCTTTTTCCAGGTCTGCAGTGATGAAGATATTGCCGATCATAATCAGAGCCAGTGATAACCAAACCAATGAGACAACGACAATCACAGAAGCCAGATGCATCTTTGATTAAGGATACACACATTGTACAGCACAGGAGCATTTATAATACCTAATTAATCAATTAAAATCCTGGTATAACTATTACAATGTACAACATTCATTAGCAAAGAGAACTTTGTCTTTGTCTGACGGTGATAGGCCCATATTACCCAATCACAGGCCTGTATGTGGACACAATTGACTGGTGTATAAAAATCCTTGCATATGGTTTATTTATGTATAACAACTTCATGTGGTCAGTCAGTGGTCATTCTGCTTTTTCAGTAAAACTAAGGCAACACGGTCTTTAAAAGCTATAAATTACAGCATCTTCTCAACCTGATCGGCATCCTTAGAGTCTATATATTGATAATTTTTCGGAGTAATACCCATCTGTTGGTCTTCTTTGGATAATGGGAGCAACACAAACTTACAGATACTTATAGGAATGTGTAAAACACCTCTGAATTATAACTGCCAGTATCCATAACACCAAATATTTAGCACGCTGGGGGCCACGAAACAATGCAGTGTGTCCACCAGTGAAGGGGGAAAGAAAATCCATCCATGTATGTTCAGGTATTTAAATAAAAAAAACACAACAGAAGATTGAGTTTTTATTTAATTCTTGTAATCAATAGGTTTTTTTTTAATGATAGATCTAAAAAGTAAAGAAATAGATCTTCAATTTGAGGTTTTTTAGACAAGATTTCATCTAAATATGAGCTGAAGGAGACGGAAAAAATAAAATGTTTTCATTTTTTAAATCTGATTGTTGCTGCTCATCCCGCATGCGTTCCCCTCGTTCTAAATTCTCTATTTAGAAACCTCGCATGTGCATTTAAAATCTAGCTTCGGCGCGTCTTTATATATTTCCAGGTGTCCTTCCACTCTTTGTGGCTGAGCAACCCCTGCAATCGATCACCCAAAAAAGCTTTGAGGGGGGAAAACGAAACTTTAAACTGCAACCAGAATTAATTCAGTGGCTTTCTAGTGTTTCAGTATAGAGAGTGTGAGAGCTGCATACAGAGCACCTCATCCGGCCTGTGACCTCCACACACACACACACACACACACCCACACACACAC